CTCTCTCTCTCTCTCTCTTTCTTTCTCTTTCTCCCCTTGATCATTAGACTATTGTAAGCATTTATAATTTGATTACATTCTATTACTTAGCTTGAGGTCTGTAGCCTCATGGTAATTGTATGATGAAAATTTGATGATAAAATTTTTAAAATTATATTTTGGACATCACTCACAGGAATCATTGCAATCAAGGACATCACCAGGAAAGGACAAAGTCTAGGAATACATTGATAACATGCAGGATATTTTTTGGGATAATTAGAATATGACCAACATTGTTTTTGAAAATAAGGACATATATTTTGCAATTATACTTTTTAATAGTGCGTCTATATTTATTCGAGCTGTCCTGGTTCAAACTCCATAGTGGTGATAATATTCCTCATAGGAATAGCAGTGTGTAAAAATGTATAAAAGAAGCAAACAACCACCTGTTAGGATGGGTGTAAGTTAATGTGTGAAAATTTGCCACCTTTGGGGAGTGGACATGTGTAAACAGACTTAAAAATGATTATAGCATCTCATCTCTGTGTTATTATGCTGATAAACTATTTTGAAAGATTTTTTTATAAATGTATATATTTCATATATATATATAGATAGATATATATGTATATATGTATATATATATATATACATATATACATATCAATCTATCTATCTATCTATATATATATATATCTATCTCTCTATCTATATATATATATATAGATATATAGATAGATATATATGTATATATGTATATATGTATATATGTATATATGTATATATGTATATATGTATATATGTATATATGTATATATATATGTGTATATATATCTATATATATATATATGCATATTAATATATATGTATATATGTATACATGGATGTCCAAATTATGCTCTCACACACACACACATAGACATATATGAATAACTGTATCTTATTTATCTCTCTCTCTATATATATTTATTGTGAATTAATACTATCTGACATATTTTTTCACATTTGTTCTAATTTCCTTTCACAAGAAATGCAACTTATCTTTTTTTTTTTTTCCTTCCATTTACAGGAGACAAAGAGTTTCCTTGCCGACTGGATGCCTTTGGCCCCACTCATGGATGAGGAAATACTTGGCACAGGAGTCTGTATCAAAGAAGAGCTCAACGATGATGCCAGTGAAGAGACTCTAGATATTAAGGAGGAACCCCTTGATTATGAAGATGAAGCGAGCGATGTGAAAGTGAAACATGAATGCATTTTCTATCGTAATCTTCATGACCTAACTCATGAAGCAAATGAAATGGACTCATGTGACTTGGATCAGGATCATAATGGCATATTGTTAAGAGTGCCATTTGTGACAAAGAACTATGGGAAAAAGTGTTCATCAAATGGAGATCAGGCGATGCACAAGGAAAGTCTTAAGGGGGAAATGCAACCCAAAGTAGAAGCCAAACTGAAAAGCTTTGTATGTGAGGTGTGTAGCAAGAAATTCACTCGTAGGAGTCGCCTCAACATTCATATGAGAGTTCACACAAAAGAGAAGCCATACAAGTGTGATGCTTGTAGTAAGGCATTCTCACAGAAACCTAATCTAATGAACCATTTGAAAGTACATACAAAGGAGAAGCCATACAGCTGTGAGATTTGCAACAAGGCTTTTTCACAGAGACATACTCAAGTAAGCCACATGAGATTACACACTAAGAAACCAACCACCTGTGAGATTTGCAACAAGGCCTTCCCAGACAAGACTAATCTAGTGAGCCATATCAGAGTGCATACAAAGGAAAAATCATACAGTTGTGAGATTTGCAACAATACCTTGTCACATAAGAATAGTCTATCAAGGCATATGAGATTACACACAAAGGAGAAGCCACACACCTGTGAAATTTGCAACAAGACCTTTAAGGAGAAAAATACACTATTAAGGCACATGAGAGTACATACAAGCGAGAAGCAATACAGCTGTGAGATTTGCAATAATGCATTTTCACGGAAAGATATTATGGCGAGGCACATGAGAGTACATACAAAGGAGAATGAATGTTTGAAATGAGACCTCACAGAATTTTTATATAGTGCCATGCATGAAAGTACATAAAATGAGAAGTAAAACTGTTGTGACACTTGCTATAACTTTCGAACTAATTATATTTGAACATATAGGTCAGAAGACATAAAAAAAAAATATATGCTTTCACCCAGAGAAGACATCTCATGAGGGAAACAGATTGCCACACATTTCCTGACATTATTGGGTAACAATTTTCCTAAATTATGGAGGATATCTTTACCTGATTTATGTTATATGTGATTTTCTTAATGTTTAATTCTCGTCAAGCATAATAAACTTTTCTGTATTATGACTTCTGTTTGTCCCCATAGTGATTCTCTTCCGGTAAGCATGCCTTACAGGGAAAGGTGTGAGACCCCCCCCCCCCCCACACACACACACACAGAAGGGCGATTATCACACGCATATGTCAGGAATAGCGAACTATTTTTGCTCTGAATTAAACCTTTGAATCTCAAATCAAATTCATTTTCAAGGTGTTGTATGGCTACCGTTGTTTAAGATGAATGGCATTCAATGAGATAATTATCACCGGGTAATCGGAATCGTATCTCTATTTTTTTTTCTCTGAAGCCATAAACTTAGGAGGTCACGAACGTCATAAGGAAGCTGGGCTGGAATTCTGCGGAAACGGATTGAAATAAGCCCACTTGTAATTGTTTTCCAAAGATTCTTACTTGTTTGTCACGAGTTTCTTAGTTCTTCGTTCTTTCCTAATTTACAGTAATTCGTCTACAGTTCCTTGTATGCGATTCTTAAAAAAACAAATACGTGTAATGTTAATATAATAGTGTCTGAACATGCATTTCTTGTTACGTGTTTGGTCATGTATAGAAAAGATGTTTAATTGGTGAACTGGTTTCTATGTCTTTCTGCAAAGCAAGCCTAGATAGTTCTTTTCGATTAATAGACAAGTGATTTTACGAGCTTTTCAACCGCACACCATCGCGCGTCTGGAATACTCAAGGAGTGCCATTTACCCTCAATTTTTTTACAGTAAGGCCTGGATAAGCTCATGTCTACTCTCAGTGATCAGGGACAGTCAAAAGTCAGCTGCTTCTGGTCAAAGAATTCGAGGCTCCTTTGCCTCCTTGATATGTCCACTTGATGTGTGTGTATGTGTGTGTGTGTGTGTGTGTGTGTGTGTGTGTGTGTGTGTGTGTGTGTGTGTGTTTCTGTGTTGTGTGTGTGTGTTGTGTTCTCTGTGTGTGTGTGTGTGTGTGTGTGTGTGTGTGTGTGTGTGTTGTGTTGTGTGTGTGTGGGTGTGTGTGTGTTTCCTGTGTGTGTGTGTGTGTTGTTGTGTGTGTGTGTGTGTGTGTTGTGTGTGTGTTTCTGTGTGTATGTGTTGTGTGTGTATTGTGTGTGTGTGTGTGTGTGTGTGTGTGTAAGCATATGTATGTATATATATATATATTATATTTATATATAT